GCCCGACGGCACGCGGTGGGGCTGCCGATCCCCAGGTTCCCCGCCTCGCACGGTCCGCAGCAGGGGCTCGCCACCCCGCCCCTGATCCTGCCTGGCGCACGCCTGGTCTTGCCTGACTCCTCGGTGTCCTGTTAGCAATCACAGCCGCTGGCCAGCTTTTATTTTCCCTGCAAAGTGGACTCTCCGTTGATGTCCACGGCCTCCCCACCTCCACTGTTTGCTGCTGCCCTGGGGTGTGTCTCCAGCCTCGATCCTCTGACACTTTCCTTGGCCAGTTTCCCTAGGTAACCGTTTTTGCCATTCCTACAGCATCTTGTATCGGAAGGATGCCAAGAGCATCTTCCAAGGAAGTGTCACTGACCAGCTTTAGAGCCGGGACAATAGATTAACAGGAGGATTTAAGGGCTTATTTACGACGCCCGTGTCAGGAAGCGCCAGCATTGACTCCTTATCTTTGGGTTTATCCTTGTGCTGTTACCATGACTCCAGATTTTGCTTTGTTCCCAGTTCTTTCCCTTTTTCTCTATTCGCTTTACCCATTTCATCCTGTGTAATATAGCGGTCACCTAAAAACAACAAAGGAAAAATATATACCCCAACTAGCATCGGCAACAACAGTTGAGGATTCTTTTTCAAATTGTGGTTAATCCTTCGATGAAGAATAAGCCTGCGGAATTGAAAGATCCTCTTTTCTTGATTTAGCTCTTTTTTTCCTCCTGATTTACATAGATTCGGATGGAATTAACAATAAGTGGAGGCACTGAGCCTCCTGGCATGACTGCATGCTAGAGAATAAATGATCTGAGGTTGTGTTATGAAGTGAAAAGCAATAGCTAGTAACTTGCGGTTACCGAAGCTCATCAAAAAGCAAAGGTCGTAATGAGCGTGATAGAATTTCATGCTTTTGCTTTGAGGTGAAGCTCTCATAGCAAACACCTCGAGGATGATAATCAAGAATTCTGATGATTTTCTGTTTGTGGGCAGCTGCAGTATATTATGATAAATGGAGGTCTTGTTCTTTGCTTATTTAGGCAGATCATTCAAGTTTCTATGAAATAGGAATTGTAGTGATAGTACTCCTTACTTTCGAGATACTTTTGTTTAGAAGACTCCCTGAAGCGGCTTATTTTTTTAATGAAATTTAAAACACGTGGTATTATAGCATAGTGGGTGGGACCATGGGTTCTGGAATCCTCATAAGGTAATACACGTAAAGTGCTTTAGAACATTTTCTCTGCAGATTCTTAGTTAACATTTGTAATTAAGGCAAAGATCTTCATTTGATTTTTCACTTATGTATGCTAAGCACCTAAAACAGTGTCTGGCAAAGAACAGGTACTCAGTATTTCTCGTGAGATAAATGACTTTATCTGTAATGGGTGCCATTCTTGGCCCTGGGGACACAGCGAAAAATAAAAAATCAAAGCCCTGCTCTCATTGAGAGTGCGTTTTAGCGAACTTTATATTTTAGCAGTGCCAAGAGGTCACTATTGAAATATTAAATGAAATATTACTAAGAATGCTTTTAAAGTATAATGAAAACCTATTATAATACTCGATTACTTTATTTCAAAACCAAATATAAATGACTGCTCATGATTTTGCATAATCTATCTGAGCACCTTTGCATTGCGTGGGTGATTAGAGCAAAGCCTTTCGTTGCTTTTTGCGTAAAGCTGCTGGCCTCTATGTATATCTAAGGGCAATAGAAGGAGGTCTGGGTTTGGGAGAGTTCTAATCTCCCATAAGACTTTCATCTGGAAAATGGAGAGATGGTAAATGCTAAGCTTACGTTACTTACATATGTACATAGCGTTGTCATTGCTTTCGTAACACCTTGGTAAATGGTTATTAACAACTGTGATGGATCATCAGGCTGCCCATTCCTCTTTGGGACCGCTACAGGTAGCAGTGCTTGGTGGTCTGTCCTCTGAGATTTGATGAGAAGTCTGGTTGCTCTTCTCCGATGTAGCCCTTGGTCTAATCGAAGACAGCCATCCTGTCCCATGAAGGTTTCTTTTTGTTTCATTTTTTCCCTAGTCTAAACACTGGAAGTTTACTGAATAATTCTTCATCTTTATCATTGTATCTAGCGTTCTTTGTTTTTTGGTACCGAGTCGGATGCTAGGTGTCTTAATAACCAGTGTGTTTGGGAGACCTTTGTTCGGATCCTTGCTTTGTTTCCTTTTAGCTCTGTGATTCAGGCAGTTAATCTGAACCTCAGTTTCCTCACCTTTAAAAAATAGAATTTTAAATATCAATCCGCCTGATTTATATTAAGTATTAAATGTAAGTGCCTGGTACATAGGATGGATAAAGTCACAAGAAGTGTGTGAAGGGCTTACGAGTACTTCAGTGTAGGTGAAACAGCATTCTTGAAAGGGACTGTGGATAATCTCACTAGATAACCGTGGCAGCAGAAAGAGGAGGCTGGAAATAACGTACATGTGATGAGAATTTGGACAAAGACAAAAGAGCAGGAATTAAAACGGGAGGATAGATTCAGAAGACATTTCTGAGACAGAAAGATGAGGTATGGCTGCTGGATGCCATGGGGAAAAGGAATCAAAGATAAAGCAGCTTTCCAGCTTGGACGAAGAGATAATATTAATAACTTTATCCAAGAGGAAGGCCAAGTTTGGGAGATGAGGTAATGAGTTTGGCTTTCGAGATGTTGTGTTTGTTCAGTACTTGGGGGATTTCTAGAGGAAAAGTCTCATCGGTACTTGGAAATACCTATCTGGAGTTTTTAGTTCAGTAGTCATCAGCCTACGAATGACAGCAAATGGACGCATCTACCCATGAAAGCCATATTTAACAAAATGAGGAAAGAAACTTGAGTGGAACCGACGCTGTAGGGTTAATTAAACAGCAAATTGGAGCGTTGGAGGTGCGGGGGGTGGGGGGCTGTTTAAATAGGTTTAAAAGTTGTCAAGGAAGGTCAGTGAGGGGAGAAAATAAGTATTTAGTAGTGACTTCGTGCCCCCAGAGAGCCTGTGGTGTCTGGTGTTCCTGGACATTAAGTACTAACCAGGTCAAACCCTGCTCGGCTTGTGAGGTCTGAAAAATGGGCTCCAGAGAGGCAAAAACACCACCGAAGTCAAGAGAGGACTTTGCAGGTGGGAGGGATCCAGGAGCAGAGCCTGATGCTGCAGAAAGGCCCAGCAGAATGGGGCTTCAAAAGAGGGCTCTGCATTTGACAATTAGTAAATTCATGGTGTTTCTTAAGATCTCTAATGTCTGCTTTTCAAAGAAGCTTTCCCCGACCCTACTGGCTTCTCAGAGGTACGAACAGCGTTAAGACAGTCCTGGCTCTCCTTACTGTGCTGTTTTTCTAACATTGTGCTTTCTACCACCTGCCATTTTGAATACTTGTTTTTATGTATGTTTTTTCCTGTTATATGAGTAGATATTTCATAAGATTACGGTCTTTGATTTTTTCCATCACTGTTTGCCTACCTCCTAGAACAGTTCCTGTCTCCTGCTAGGTGTTCAATAAGGACGCATTTGTTGAATTAACAAATGGATCTACTTTAATTTAGTGGCTAGACTTAATAAAGTTTGCCTAAGGTTTAGCCGGGAGTGAATGCGAGGCAGGGAGGAGCCAGGCAGTGAACTCAGGTCCGTGTTTCCAAAATGCGCTGCCGAGGATGTTGGTCCCAGATACCTCTTAGAGGCAGAAAGGATTCTGTTGGGGTAATAACGGCATTCGAAATCTCTCTTTAAGACTGAAAAAGTTCTGTTGTAAGAAAACCCATTTGTTTCATCTAGGGTTTTCCAAACATTTGACCGTGGAGCAAGGGACATGAGGGTGATTGGTGAAAGTAGAGAAAATGACTAGTCAGGTTCAGACTAGGTAGAAAAGGAAATACAGCCAGGAACGGGTTATCATGAAAATAGCAGTCACTCCGAGGTGAAGGACGTGACAGAGAGAGAGGTAGAAGGTAGAAGACTGTAGTTAGGGAGAGAGTTTGAGTATTTTCAGATCCAGAGTTCGACCCTTTCTGAGTTAACAGTGGTGGTTTTTGCCGAATTGGAGAGCAGGTGACTGACGTGGGCTGGAGGGTGAAGGTTATGTGTCGAATAGGTTAAGTGAGTGTTGAAAATGTAGGATGAGCTGAAAAAGGAAAATCTTGTAAGATATTAAAGATTATTGACATGGAAGTAATTGGCTTTTTAAAAGGATCGTAAGAAGAAAGTTGATATGACAGCTGCTGTGTGCTTCAAAAGAGATTTGATGACTTTTAAAGGTTGGATTCAGATGCGGAAATAAACATACTACACAGAGACAAGACTGTTCTTCCAAGATTTTCTTTTAAAAATGTTCTCTCCTATTTTTAAAATGTATAGATTTTAGAATGGCATAGCTATTTTAGATAATAGCATATTGTTTCACGTCACCTATATAGCAGTAATATATAAAGATACCGTTTCAACCCTCATTATTATGCAGGTTTTGGAGTCGCTAAATACAGCAACTCATAACAGAATCAATAATGTGTGCAGGATAAATTTCGAAAGAGATTGGCTTCCTGAGAGATTTAGAATATTAAACTACTTTTTATACTTGGTTCTGTCCATCAGTTTGAGTGCTGCTTTCCACGGTGTTTGCTCTCTGCTATAATAATCACCCCGAGTATCATCACTCTACTGTATTTATATAAGCCACACAATTCACTAGCTTCTGCTACTCAGAAGAGATTATCGGAGTTTGCCTGCATGCCCTGGAGGGTAATAAATTTTTTTATTTCATCGGTTATGAAGCATTTTATATATAACTTCTCAGTCGATCCTCTTAAATTTCAAAGTAGATGGAGCAGATATTATATCCTCATTTAACAGATGTTAAACTGAACCTACCTACATGATTAGTCATGTGTTTTCTTCTAGTTCATATAGCGAAGACTTTTCCAGCAAGGAGAGAGTCAGCATACTTTTTCCCGAAGGCCCCCACAGATTCTCAGTTTTGTATTTAGACAAGTGGAAGTGATTTCATCAACATATTATACACACTACCTGAAAGATTCATCCCACGCTCTGCAGTTGGTCAGTTGGTTTAATCATTCTTACCTATGACCAGCTATTTTTTTTTTTTTAATATAAGACCAGTAAGAGAAGTATCTTATCATCCATGTATGTTTTGTGCTAAGGTGGTCCTAAGGTAAATTTTATTAAATAAATATGGTATATCTATCATGGTAGTTTAGAGGTAGAAGGGGGCCGTGTAGGTCATTTAACGTCCTTATTTTATACAAGAGGACTCTGAACCTTAAAGTTAAATACCTTTTCCAGGGATTCGTAGTTCTGAATAACAGAGCTGGGACTTGAACTTAGATAATATGAGACAAATTCCAGTGCCTTTTCTACTGCACTCATGTCTTTTAATGAATACCTTCAAACAAAATGCGCCTTTGTGGCTGTACAGCCTAAGCGGCTTGTCACGACCTGTTGTTGGTAATTCCTTCCAGGGGGGGGTGTTGACACCAACACACATGTGTATGCCATATTTTGTAAATTATAACACGGTGCCATAAGACCAGCCAGTATAAGAGGAAATTATAAATTTATATATCTTTTTAAATTTATTTTGGATGGAATAATTATTTCAACATTTCTTTTCTGAGATAATTGTTTTTAAGTGCTTTTTCTTTAATGCTGTTACCTCTCTTTTATACTTTTTGGTGATACCGATTTTCTTTTCTTTTATAGATAATTTGAACATGTTTGATAATATGTAGGAATTAATCCCAGGAGTTGGATTTTATTATATGATAGTTTTTCTAGTTGTTCTTAGTTTTAAGTTTTTGCATTTTAAAAAATGGGAGATACTTTGGTTCTTAGGCAAATGAAGACATAACTCATGTAGACTGTTCGCTTTATGAGAGCAGCGGATGAGTCTTTCCGCCCTCACGTCATGCCTGGCAAGTAGTAGGTGCTCAGGTAGGCACTCACATTGCTCCCAGGAGTTGAACTGGTTTTCCTCAATAGTTCATTTTTATAAGATTCTGTTTTGTCATCTGTTTTACAAGGTGATACTGAAATGTACTTTTAAGCAAGTAAAATATGTGACACTTTAACATTTTGTGTTGATGAATGTTTAAATCTTTGCTTCGAATTTAAAGAAATACATGAGAACTATAAACAAACAAGCTTCATAGATCATGCAGCACGTAGTTCGCTTCGACATGATCATGAAGACATTTTTGTCTTAACATACCTGATGGATTTCATCCAGCGACCGCCTCAGCACTCCGGGTGGTGGCATTTAGTGACCCAGGGAGATGAAGCTCCTCTCCTTAAGTCAGGCAAACCTTAGCTTTGCTTTTGTAGTGTCCACTGCTAAACTGCCACCGTAGACATTGCTTCCGTTTGAGATGACAAATAGTCAAGATCTACCACTAAAATAGGGCAGTGGAGGATTAGGAGAATGAGAGAACAGAGCAGTTCCTCTGTTACTGTTTGATTGCGTTCCCACCGACATCTGTTTTGATTCCCCTGATTAGTGTTCTGTGAACTCGCTAAATGCTTTGGGAACAAATTATATGAAGTCGTAATTATACTTTTTTCATGAGTTTATGTTACGCTTAAAAGGAAATGGTTTTCTATTTGTCTTTCATGTGTTAAAAGAATTGTAACAATCAGTAAAATATTCAGAGAATATGGTAAAGATTTAGGTTTAAGAATCATTATTAGAAAATTACAGGTATGGGAATAAATTTAGCTTTGATATTTGGCTAGATAATAAAATGACACATTTACTCAGTTATGTAGAATTCCAAACAATGTAGTTTTTTTTTTATCGTTTCTGTAACAAAATTTGTTGCATGCAAGTACATGATAGATGTATTAATTTTTGATTGAGTAGAAGTTGCAGCTAGTTCTTATTTAATGACTTGTATGGTCAGAATATATCAACTTGCCATTCTGGTGATCTTAACATAATATATATAAAATAATGAACAATTTACATAACACGGATAGTTTGCATAGTAATTGGGTGATCTTTTCCTTGAAGCGGTATACTTCCTGTTTTCTGGTGTTAAAGAACAAAATTTTTTTTCTGTCCTGGATCACCTTAGGAAGCCACCTCACTGATCACTAATGTTATTTCTTAATGCTTTGAAGATTAATAATATGCGTTATTAACCTTAAGATAGATTTGGTTTTTAAAGTTTAGTAATTTGCAATAGTGATAGCCTGTAAGTGAAGAGAATATGACAAATCGATTTGGTTAAAATAAGAGTTAAACAGAGATTTCAAAAATATCATTTTGGTTATCCTTAAATCATGACTTCTGTATTTGGCGTGGACTTTCTGACCACTTTTAATTCTAAGACTTGTGACCATTTTAATTGATAATGTTGCTTATTTCAAAATGAAACAGGACATTTTTTCATAAGAACTGACAACTAATATGTGAAACTAAGGGAAGACATAAAACTTGGAAGTATTACAATTTGAGCTATGGAATTTATTGACTAAATTCTTTTCCGTTTTAGAAAATGGAAGTGTCCAAGTTGGAGAATTATTACCTTGCAAGATATGTGGAAGAACATTTTTTCCAGTGGCGTTAGTGAGTACCTTTTTCCTTTGCCGTTTGATGGATCAGTGATTGTTAAATACTTCTGCACAGGTCTCATGGGAAGAACCTCTGTGGAATGATTTGGAGAGAGACTGGCTGATGTTCTTCGGTCAGGAGTACCCTTTCCATCCGCGTCATCTTCCAGAGTGGTCTTGCCCGCAGAGTTGCATCGCTCTGCCAAACCTCTCTATTAAAATGTCCTTCCCTTTGTGAGAATAATAACAAAAACAGCATAAAACTCAGAAATGCATAATAACATATTTAAAGATACAGAATATGATGTCTGGAATTTGCTTTAAAGTACTTCAGGAAAGTAAGCTGCGATATATGAAATATGATTTCTAAAACGTTTGCAATCATTGAAGCAAGGTGATGAATAAATGAGTAAACTATTCTCAATTCCTATATAGATCTGAAATAGTCCAAAGAAAAAATGTTTCAATTAAAAGTGCCCCTAAAATATATTATGCATTCTTAATATACTTTTAGATACTTAGTATATACACATAAAAGCGTTTTTAACTGATTTTAATATCAAATAGCTAGCTATGTAGAGAATACGAAGAAAATGCCTACACACCTTAAATATTTTGTTTTACCTTCAAATATGAATATAGATTTATTACTATTGAGATGTAGAATGGATACTATTTTCTTTTAATATGGATTTGCTGACTAGAATTCTGCCACATTGCATTTTGCATCTTACCATTTCCAGTTTGTTCTTTTAAAGCAAAGTGAGGAATTAATGATCCAAAAATGTCCAGTGACTACAGACACCTTTTAAATAATGACAGCTTTTTTCTTAATCCTTTAAAAATGTCTTGCCCACACTTAATTTAGTGATTATTTTTGGTTATCAATTCACTATTTTTTCAAGCCATTTTCAAAGCATTCAGCTGAGTTCTCACAGAAGAAAAAGGTCCTTTTTTGGTCCTCATTTATTGAGCTAATATTTAGTAAATGATGTAATCATGGTAATGCCTGCAACTATATAAACATCCATTGGGTCCAAGCACTGCATACTTTTGACCTATACAACTCAATATGAGAACAGATGTCTACTAGAAAGTCGCCTGCTAGCCACACTCTTATGTTTTTAATACTTAAAAGGTTTTATTCTAACAGCTATAATTATGCTTATTTGTTGAAATGAAAACTGAAATCAGGTATGTAAAACAATTAGTTACTAATTGTTTATAGAAAATATGAGAGGCTCCATGATACAGAACCAACCAGTGTAGAGATTTCTTCTTTTCCCAGGTAAAGTTTGACAGTTCCTGCTTGTTCAGTCAGTGTTTATCAAAATATAAAAGAAACAAGTACATTTTGTGCACCGATGTCATCAGTCAACAGATTTTATTTAGCAGAGGGAGAATGATTATTTATCTGATAGGTTAACTGGAGGTCACTTAGAGCTTCCATTGTAATGTTTTTAAAACAAATACATGAATGATTGAGTTGGCAGCCATGTTAAAAAAAAATCAAACTATAGGAGTAGATTACTAGATACCTCAAGAAAAATCCTTGGTAAAGAAAGAGAGAAAACTTAAGTTCCAGAAGAGAGAAAAGGGATAATTGTGAAGGAAGGGTACCACTCTAATCACTTTGTCCTATTATTTTATATTAACTTTATCTTAACTTACTCCTATTATGTTAAATTTAGTAATCCAAACTACTGCGAATATATCTTTTGTAATCCTAGCACTAATGTATCCTCCATTCACGTTCTTTTTTTAGCATCTATTTTCAGGTATTTAGTAATGAAAATACTTTTTCCCACTTAGATAGCTTTGACTTGGTTATATTATTATCCTATTCTTAGCAGTGTGAAAACTAGGAGAATATTAACTCAAAATTGAAATCTTATTTAGGTATTATTATTTATTGTTTGTTTCATCTTAAGGTTTTTAAACTGGTCTCAAATGACAATTTACAGTTTTTAGTCTTTCCTTCTGTAGAGAAGAAAATGATACATTGCATTTCTTCATCTGAACAGAAAAAACATGGACCCATTTGCCAGAAAACTGCCACTAAAAAACGGAAGACTTTTGATTCAAGCAGACAAAGAGCTGAAGGAACTGATATTCCGACAGTAAAACCTCTTAAACCTAGGGTAATTATATAACTTTTCAACAGTATGAACCTTGTTGCTATATGTATTGAAAAGAATTACAATTATCTGTTATACTAAGATTGAAGAACAAACAGAATTTTGTGTCATGTTTAGAAATGATCAGAAACTTATTTTAAACTTTGCAAAAGAGAGACCATACTACTGTCTCAGGCTCTAGCTATTACAAGGAGGTTTTTGTAGCATTGGAGAACCACTTACTTTGCTACAGGCTGGAAATAATTAAAAAGTCTTCACAAGTTCTTTTATGTCATTATAAATTACCTCAGATATAGTTAAGTATAAGTTAAAATCTCTTTTACCAGTAGCGTAATCCCTGTATACGTAAGTAGAGCTATTACTTATAGACATCTTGGCATAATAGATAGTGATTATCTTGACTGATCGTCAGTGTTTGTGATCTTATTATACTTTCTGGGGATAAGTTTTATCAGTTACTCAATTGTCTACATATAGGAATTATCAGTTTATTTTGTCTTGTGACCAAAGCAATGAATCTCCTGTAATAATATCTCCTTAATACCACCTCTGATATATACTTAAATATACTTAAATTAATCTTAAGATTAATTTATATACTTAAATTAATCTTAAGATAAAGCAAAGTAAAAACCATTGTTTTACATTAAGTAATTTATATTCTCGCTACTTAAAGTGTGGTCCATAGAGCAGTAATATCAGCACTACTTGGGAACTTGTTAGAAACGCAGAATCTCAGGTCCCACCCAGACACATTCCATTAGAATCTGTGTTTTAACATAGACCTTGGGTGAGTCACATGCACATTAAAGTTTGAGAAGCAGTGAGTGTATTAGATTTTGAACATGGCACTGTAGTTCTCAGTATCTTTACCTGTATCAAGGAAATCCTACAAAATCAGCAGAGTGAGCAAGCAAACACAAACACAAACACTATTTTTGGAGAAAAGAAAAGCAGGCAGGATCCACTGACTGCGCCATGCATGTAAGGACTGCCCAGAGCAACTGAGATCCAGGAGAACCTACCCATAGAGGAAGTGCAGGAATTTACTGGGGGCGTCGGTGGGGGGGCACCCATGGCCCAGAATCTGGGAACTTGCCACCTTCAGGGTATGGGGTCTCCTTGCCTTAATGGCAAGGGGTCTTATCAGGAAGTATATGGCCGTTGTTTACTACAGCCAAGGCAGAGACCCGGATGAGTTTCAGAGACTCAGGCAGAAACGAGAATGAGCCTGGCTGGGATGGACAAACGCCAGGAGGGAGGAAGTGAGGAATAGAGAGCTGAATAGGTCCAGCCAATGGCAGTGACAGAGGCGCTCAGAAAGCGTTAGCTGGGGGTGGAAGGGACCCCCTTTCTGAAGATGGGGGGCCACTCTAAAGGGCTGTGTCTTTTTTCAAGCAGTGAGTGTGGGAACTGAGGGCAGTGGCTGGCGGCAGCAGCCCTCCTGGACCCATATTGTAGAGAAGCAGAAGAGGCACTCCAGATCACACACACAGACCTCGTTTGCATGTGTATCTGATCAGCAGAGGACAGAGCTGCCCTGGGCCTCTCCTCCCTAAAACCCCTTGTGAATGGCTGTGCCAGGAAAACCTTAACTCACTCAGTGACAGGTGATGAAAACCGTGGGCTCAGCGGTGTTACAGGGGTGCTACGAGGAAAAAGCAGAAGGGAGCAGCGAAACTGACCAGCACGTGGCTAGCACTCATCACGGAGCAGATAAATGTTGCGATCACACATTTCACCATAAAACAAAAGAACGAAAGAATCGGTCATCTCAAACATGTAAATGTGTGTAATTATACTGAGTCGAGGTTTTTGCATCTATACTCATGAGAGAGGTAGAGCTATCTTTTTTTTTTTTTTTTTTTTT